CCACCGACCAGCACTAGGGCAGCTCTTAGCATCCTCCTTCCAAAGAACAGGAAATATAATTTTTTAAAATTGAAGTCTAGTTAACTGAAGAACAGGAAACTTTAAAAGTGCACTCCCTTTGGGATTTCTTCTGACCCTTCAAAATCTGGCATGCGCATTTCTGCTTAGCAGCAGACTTCCACTTAAAGGCAAAGCTTATATACTTGTTACCTCGTTTCCTTCTTGAAATTTCTCACTCCTTCACCTGGGGCAGTCAGGGTTCCCTGGTAGCAAGCAATGGGAGCAGCATTTATCACACACCTAAGTGAAGCAGGCACAGCACTTGTTCACACTCATCCTCAGAAAAACACCAACCTTCCCATTTAACAGATGGGAAAAGCGAGTCCCAGGGTGCCTAATGCCCAGGTTCACTTGGCTTCTGAGTTGGGAGTCGGGATTTGAACCCCGAAGTCTGGTTTTAGAGTCCGCCTCTGGCTCTGTGCCCTCTGGCATTTCAGCCCTAATAATAATGGCAACAGAAGCCTCAGCGGCCCCCAGTTCTTCTGCCACTTGGTGCAGCCCCAAACACTCGATTTACCTGATGTGATTTTTACAGTGACCTGTCACTTAGCCCCATTGTATGGATCAGGAGACTGAGTCCCAGAGGCACAGGAGCAGGGAGGAGACCTTGGATGGGGAATTCTGCCTGCTCTCTTTACCACTTCCCCCACGCCTCCCCCAGGTGGACAGTGAGAAGGGGATCTCCCTCCGCTTCCCTCGGTTTATTCGTGTCCGTGAGGACAAGAAGCCAGAGCAGGCCACTACCAGTGCCCAGGTGAGGCCCGTGGTAGAGGGGTGGGCTCACCTCGCCAGGCCAGCCTCTCGGAGAGCATGGGCTGTGGGCTGATTTGGCCGGGAAGAAGGTGGGGCCACCCCAGGGCTTCTGACTCCACCACCACCACCCTCTCACCTCAGGTGGCAGGTCTGTACAAGAAGCAAAGTCAGATTCAGAACCAGCAGGGTGCTGAGCCGGACTCCGAGCAGGAAGAGTTCTACTAGAGTTCCTGCTGGCCCGGGGGGCTGGGCGCAACGGGGTCGGGGGTGTGGCTGCTAGTGCTCTGCACGCTGGTGTTGCCCTGCGCACGTGGGATTTGAAAGTCAGGTGTGTGTGAGGGGATGGTTTCAGTGGGGGTCTGGGGTTTGGTCATTTTTTTCAATAAATAATAATTGAACACCTGCTCTGTGTCCTTGCTGGGCTCTGGGGGTATGGCCTTAACAGTTCACATTTTGGGAGTGTAACAGTGTGGCTCCCCTGGTGGCTTAGCAGTAAAAAATCCACCTGCCGGTGCAGGAGAACTTGGATTTGATCCCCGAAGTTCACCTGGAGAAGAAAATGGCAACCCACTCCAATAGTCTTGCCTGGAGAATCCCATGGACAGAGGAGCCTGGTGGGCTACAGTCCATGGGGTTGCATAGTGTCGGACACAACTCAGCAACTGAGCACACATGCACATGCAAGTGTGGGTGTGATGGCTGGAGCAGGGGCTGCCACCTTGTGATCATGAGGAACAAGCCAGAAGAGTCACAGAGAAAGTCACCCTGATAACTGTTAACCAGTGAACCAAGGGCAGCAGCTGCCTAACTGGACTTGTCATGGCGGTGGGGTGGGAGTGGAAGAAAAAAAATAAATTCCTTTGTGATCACACCACTGTACAAATGGGGTTTGTTTCTCAACATAGTTAAGAGTTCTACCTTAAAGCATTGGCAAGTTAATGTGCATCCATATTTATCACGTTCAAGTAGCATATTAAGTGTTAAATATTGTATGTCTGGGGATCCCAGTGACCAGCTCTGTGTGGAATCCTGAGGTTCCCTTAGGCATGGAACAGGGTCTTCCTGAGGAAACTGGAACCAAGGACACTTCCCCCCCACACCCCTGCGGGGCCCCTGTGAGCACACTCCTCAAGCACCCATGACCACCCATGTCACTCTGCCAGGGTTGGGCAGGGATCTCACTCACTAGTGACCCTCATGACACCCCTGCTAGGGAAATGCTTTCATTATCCCCATTAAGCAGATGAGAACACTGAGGCACAGGATGTGAGTTATTTTCCCCAAGTCTACCATTGAGGGAATGGAGGGCCAGGGTCTGGTCTGGGCAGTCTGCACTCGGCCCCCAACTGTAGTGCCTGGCGGTGAGCCCCATGTGCTGCTACAGGGTGTGGAACCTTATCTCACCGGCAGAGAAGGGACCTGGTAAGGTCTGGAGTGAAAAAATCATGTTGGAGTACATGGACCCTGAAGAGATGAGCCTGGAGCTGAGGGGAGTGGTGGAGACCACGTTCCGGTGACATCGACTTCCTCTTAAAAACAGTTGGAACCCATCGGGAGAAGATGCTTAGAGCTGGGCTCTGGGGAGAGTCTGTGGGAGGGCAGTCAGGTTTGCAGGAACAAAAACTCATAGTCGCATGTAAGTTGGAATGTGTCATTTTGATTTGCTACATTACTGGTGACCTTCATTTTAACTATTTAAGAAAGTATCTATGGGGTCTCCCCACTATAAAGTGACTCTTTTGAAAATAGTATTTTGTACATGTGTGTGTGGTAAGTCGCTTCAGTCACATCTGACTCTGCTACCCTAATGGACTCTAGCCCGCCAGGCTCCTCTGTCCATGGGGATTCTCCAGGCAAGAATACTGGAGTGGGTTGCCATGCCCTCCTCCAGGGGATCTTCCTGACCCAGGGATCAAACCCATGTCTCTGTCTCCTGCATTGGCAGGAGGGTTCTTCACCACTAGTGCCACCTGGGAAGCCCGGTATTTTGTGTGGAGGTGCTTTAAGCTATCTACGTATTATCAAACTTTACTTTTTATATTTGTACAGACTCCCAGTTCCCTATTTCTCTGATATAGTTTGTTGTTATTTTGAGTTTCAAATTGCCCATCAAACAGTCAGTGGAGCTTCTTTAAGCTTTTGTTGCCTAGTCGCTAGGTAGTGTCCAACTCTTTTGAGACCCCATGGACTGTAATCCACCAAACTCATCTGTCCATGGGATTCTCCAGGCAAGAATACTGGAGTGGGTTGCCATTTCCTTCTCCAGGGGACCTTCCTTACCCAGGGATCAAACTTGGGTCTCCTGCATTGGCAGGCAGTTTCTTTACCACTGAGCCACCAGGGAAGCCCCTGTGTTCTTCTGGCATGCCCCCACAACTCTCTGAGCACATTCTTGCTTTACAGCACAAGAAGACATAAATTTTAGGCTCATCCTATAATACTTGTCCTTCTCCAGACCCAAAATCAGCCATTGCTTCCAGGAGTCTTGGTTGCTATTTGGTGAAGAATGGTCAAGGTCTGGAAGCTAAAGGTGTTCATTAATACTAGGCTGCGTCCTTTTAGCTGGAGAATATATGCTCCTGAGTCCCTACACACACGTGATGTCTGTGTTTGTTTGTATGCGTTCGTGTGTGCTGAGTTGCTTCAGTCGTGTCTGACTCTGTGCGGCCCCATAGATGGTAGCCCGCCAGGCTCCTCTGTCTGTGGAGATTCTCCAGGCAAGATTCCCGGAGCGAGTTGCTCTGCCCTCCTCCAGGGGATCTTCCCAATCCAGGGATAGAACCTGAGTCTCTTACATTTTCTGCGTTGGAACGCAGGCACTTTTTACCACTAGTGCCACCTGGGAAGCCCGTTTATTTGTGTATCCCTCCCTATATATTGAAGTCCATGAGTGTATAACAGTGCCTCCAGTTCCAATCCAACACCACAGAGCTTGTTCTCCCTTTTCCCCTTTCTGTATTAACAACTCCCTTTTCCAGCAGCGAGAAACCCGATTCCCATTATCCTTAGTATAATCCCATGTGTAACCAATCTCCCTTCTCCTTTGCCATCTGCTCCTGTGGGGACACCATTCTCGCCATGATCTGGCTTTAACACCCTACACCACGCCACCTCCATGAGTGGATATCTTCACTCTCCTCACAGTGCTAACCGTTATCCTAGGTGATGTGATACCTGCATGTAGATAAACCTCGTCACCCAGCTCATGCTCCAGTATCCCATACCAGGCTGCTCTTCCATGGGTTCATCCTCACCTTCCCAGGCCCCAACGCTCTGGGCCATGCAGACACCCTTATCGTCTCCCCACCCACCCACCTGTTTTTTTTTTTCTTTTTGTCTACACCACATGGCATGTGGGCTCTTAGTTCCCTAACCAAGGATCGAACCTGCGCCCCGTGCAGTGGAAGCCCAGGGTCTTAAATTCCCCCACCGGGGAAGTCTCTTCATCGCTTCACCGTGGCCTTTGACTACCCCCATCAGCATGGATGCCTACCTTGCCCCTCCTGCCCTGAAATGTTCAGGAAGAAAGGAAGGGAGGAGATGAGCAGAGGAAGATCAAACACCACCCTCCTGACTCACTGGAAAAAACCCTGGTGCTGGGGAAGCTTGAGGGCAGAAGGTGAAGAGGGCATCAGAGGATGAGATAATTGGATGGCACCACCGATTCAACCGACATGAACTTGGGCAAACTCTGGGAGATGGTGAGGGACAGGGAAGCCTGGTGTGCTGCAGTCCAAGGGGGTTGCGAAGAGTCGCACACGACTTGGCGACTGAACTAGCCACTATACATGCCTATTGCCAAAGTCAGGTTGTCACGTGATGTTCGCATCCTGCTCATTTACTCACTTTCCTGGCTTACTCCAGAGCTCCTGGAAGCCAGGGGCCGTGTCCTCTCCATCTTCACGTGCACAAAGGCCAGCAGAGACCTGGCTTAGGCCAATCACACCACATGCCTGTTGGAACATTGTATGAATGGATGCTCTCCGCTCTAATCCTCATTTTTGAAACTATCCTTCCAATTCTATTCTGGGGATAAAAGGTCAGAGCCTGACACTGGGTCCCCGCCTCCCTCCGGTCTCCCTCAGGCCAGATGGGGAGGCAGGAACAACTGTGATCCCTCCCCAACTCGAGTAGAGATTTCCCACCCAGCTGTCACAGCCCCAAGGGAGCCAAGGTGACCGGGGGACAGGCAGGCAGAGTTGGCCGAGGACTGGCGGAGAAGCAAAGGAGGCTGAGCCACTAAAGGGGGACCCGAAGTGGGGGGGCGGCGTCTTGAGATTGGAACCCAATGAGTTCCACCATGACACCTTCCATGCAGTTTCCCATGGGCCCTGCCTGCATCTTCCTAAGAAAAGGCATCGCAGAGAAACAGCGGGTGAGGCTGGGGGCAGTGGGGAAGGACGGTGGGAAGGGCAAAGGGAGCTGGGATGCGGGGAAGAGAAGGGCTGTGACCGGTACAGTGGAAGAGGGGAGCGGCACGAAGTGAGAAGGTTAGAGGCAGCACGGTGGGGACACGTGGGTCTGGGAGGGGAGGATGAAATCAGAAGTCAGGACCGAAAGGTGGAAGATGAAAGAGGAGGCAAACAAAAGGGGAACTGGGGTGACGTCACTGTTGACCAGCATCATTCTTTTCTATGGACACCCATAGTGATGCCAGTGACAATGGTGGTGGTGGGAATAAGAGTAGCTGCCATTTATTATTTTTAAATTTGTACTGGGTCTTAGTTGCTGCATGTAGGATCTAGTTCCCTGACCAGGGATCGAACCTGGCCCCCGTGCAATGACAGCATGGAGCCTTAGCCAGTGGATCACCAGGGAAGTCTGTAGCTGCCACTTAAGTCATTGCTGTGTGCCCAGACTTGTGCAAAGGGTTTCACATTCTTGATATTATTTAATCCTCACAATCAATGACTCTTGAGGTCCGTAATACCTTCATTCCCATTTTACAGATGTGGAAGGTAAGGCTGCAAGTCATGAAGTCCTTTGCTTTAAGCTTTGACAATTAATGAATGGCAGGGCCAGAACCGTTTGATTCCAATGGGCATGCTTTTCACTGTTAGTCTTCAAGACTAACTAACTGGGGGGAAAGTGAAAGTGTTAGTAGCTCAGTCGTGTCTGACTGTGACCCATGAACTGTGACCCGCCAGACTCCTCTTTCCATGGAATTCTCCAGATAGAAATACTGGAGTGGGCTACCATTCCCTTCTCCAGGGGATATTCCCGACCCAGGGATTGAACCTGGGTCTACTGCATTGCAGACAGATTACCTTCTGAGCTGCCAGGGAAGTCCCAACTGGAGGGGGGAAGGGGATACTGAAAAAGAGAAGGTGGGGAAAAGTCTCCAAGGATAAAGGGAGGTATGGGGGGGTGGTGGTGAAAGAGGCCAGGGGTTGATGGAATTTCCCTGGGGATGTGATATGTGCTCAAGCCTGACCCTTCAGGTATGTCCTGGCGTGACTAGTGGCAATATGAAAGGTTTCAGAAATTGATCATCCTGGCGGTGCTCATCCTGCCTGGCTGCCACTGAACACAGCTCTGACACCAAGAGATTCTCACCCAGCCACTTATGAGCTGTGTGACCTCAGGCAGGTTCTTTAACCTCTCTGTTCCTCAGTTTTCTCTTAAGTAAGATGGGAATGGTATTTGGCTCTACCTCACAGTATGGTTCTGAAGTTTAAATGAAATGATTGTGGAATCCCAGCACAGTTAGCACTCTGAATGTGTTAACTGATTCTAAGTCTGACTTTCCTCATCTGGAGGAGGAGATTGGATTCCATGGCCACCAGGATCGGTTTGGCACAGTCCACTGGGGAAAGGCAGGAGAAGAGAGACCAGGGTCCAAGGATGGGAGAGAGGAAATGAGAAGGGGCTTGGAGGAGTGGGAGGAGCAAACAGCCAGGGAAGGGGAGTCAGGAGGTGGGAGAAGGAAGGTGAGAAGGGGAGAGGGGAGGGAGAAGGGAAAAGAACCAGGAAAGGATGAGGATGAGATGTGCTTGGAGAAGTGAATGTGGATCTCTGATTCTCTTTCCAAATCCTGCCCCCACTCCCCGCCTTCCTTTCTAGGAAAGACCACTGGGACCAGATGAGATTGAAGGTAACACTTTCTCCCCCAAACATCCCGTACCACCATCCGCCCATTCACCTGCACTCTGTTCCTTTGTGCATTTCAGTACAAATCCCTCAACGCAAAAGTTTTACATCACTCTCTCTTCTCACTCAACTGTGATTTTGTGGCGGTTTAAGTACTTCCCAAAGTGTTCAGAAGCCATCCTGACCCCCAAGTGTCTCAGAGACCCATGAATGATGCCTGAGTTTTAAGGATGAGTCCAGAATTGTTCTTTTTTGTCTCTTGGTGATTTTGAAGTTTCTCATTACTTCACCCAACAATGTGAAGGACTTCAGTGCTATTATTTAGTGGTCTCGAGAATTATTCTTCTTGCTAACACACTTCATATATCCCTCCTATTGGACATCTTTAAATGTATTCTTTTACATTTAATTTAATTTATTTAATTTAATACATTTAAAATGTATTCTTATTAAATGTATTCTCTTTTGAGGAGTCTTGAGTTGGTGCCTCATTGACAGCTTCAAGGGATGCTCCATTTCCCCAGTGACTATTTCAAGTTACCCCAAAGTTCATGTCTCTTAACTTTCAGAGCTTCGGGAAGCATTTCTTGAGTTTGACAAGGACCGAGATGGGTTCATCTCTTGTAAGGACTTGGGGAATCTCATGAGGACAATGGGCTACATGCCCACGGAGATGGAACTGATTGAACTGGGCCAGCAAATCCGGATGAACTGTGAGGCTTGGGGGTGGGAGGAATGATGGGGCTTTGGGGGAGGGTTAAAAGTGAAGTTAGGAAGGATGTGGAGGTTGAGAGTAGAGTTGGAGATGGGGAGGAGGGAAGCAGGGCTAGAAGTCTGGAAGGAAACAGCTCAGACTGTACTTAGGCAAGCAGCATTTGAAGTGGCTAAAAGGGTGATTTTTAAGATAGATTTGGGTTCAAGTCCCAGTTCTGTTGTTTACTAATTGTAGTCATTATGAGAAGCAGAGTTAACCCCACTCTTGAATCTCAGTGAAGATGTTATCACTCCTTACTTAGTGAGATTGTAGAAAGGAAGGGATAAAGACGTTAATACAGGTAAAGGCTTAGCCTCCAGTAAATGCTTATTAAATATAGGTCATTGCTACCACCACTAAGATTCATCAGTGGAGTGTGGGATTGGACCTGTATTTGACGCTGAAAACATACTAGGAGTTGGAGCCTAATTGTTGCTGAATAATGTAACAAAAAAGATGGGTCTTTAGATGGAGACTAGAGTTGATTTTGTGATTGATAAGATTGCTCATGGGTTTGCATCTGAGCATGTTCCTGAGTAAACAACACTGAATTCAAGGAGATTCACCTCTGGAAGGGATTTGGTGCTCATTTAATTCATACTCTCTCTTCTCCAGATCTACAGATGAGGGAGCCTAGGTCTGAACCAATTAAGAGATTTTTCCTAAGGTCACATCAACAGTTAGTTACTTCCACTGTACTTCCTGCTCCTGTTCAGATGAGAGGAGCAAGAGGGCTTGAGTTGGCTGAAAGAGGAAGCTCTTAGAAGGCAGAGAGATTGGAGCAGATCTGTTCCTTGAACAGAGTTGAAGGGCACAGTGAGGGAATGGAATGTGGGGGTGTATGAAGTCTCACCAGACCTGCCTCTTCTGTCCCCAGTGGGTGGCCGTGTAGACTTTGATGACTTTGTGGAGCTGATGACCCCCAAATTGCTTGCAGAAACAGCTGGGATGATTGGTGTCCAGGAGATGCGAGATGCCTTCAAGGAAGTGAGTTTCCTAGTGTTGGAGGTGGTGGAAGGAGACCCCAGGGTTCTATGATTAGTCATTAATGGGGGACAAAACCCTAGTGGCTCAGTGGTAAAGAACCCACCTGCCAGTGAATGAGACTTGCAATATGTCCATGTACATATATATAATTGTATTTAATTTTGGTTAATTTCTATTAACTTCATTTCTATTTGTATTCAATGGAATATGATTTCAGTTCATTTAAATCTGAAAATGAATACTCAAAGCAATTATTGGAAAACTTTGATTTGGAACAACTGGGTGTGCCAGTCTACCTTCTCAACTATGTATTTTACCAAATTTAAACACAGATCAGGTATTTCTTATAACATTTGTGTCTGAATTGAGGTGTGCTCTGAGTGTAAGATATACGCTGGATTAAGGTTTACTATTTTAGCTTAAGTGTCCTTGGAGGCTGGCTGTGTTAACTAGCCATGCTAAGGACATACTAAATAAGTACTCCAGCATGGTATTATACTAAGTCTTATGAAATACAGCACTGAAAGTATATAACAGCTTTTCAATGACTGTGAAGCTGGGGAGATTCCAAATGGGAGAAAAACATTTGATTTCATTGTCCTCCCAGCCCTTTGATCCTCCTCTGAAGCCCATCAATAAAATAGTTTAATCCCAGAAAAAAACAAGAATGTAAAATAGCTCATTAATGAACTTTAAAAGATGTATTATTTATTTATTTGGCCATTCTGTGGGGCGAGTGGGATCTTAGTTCCCAGCCAGGGCTCAAAGCCGGGCCCCCTGCAGTAGGAGCTCAGCGTCTTAACTACTGGACCACCAGGGAAGTCCCCATTAATGCTTTTAAAATTGATTACATGCTGAAATGATATTTTAAAGTAAAATCAATTATAGAAAATTAATTCCACTTGTTCCCTTTAAATGTGTGTGGTGGGGGGACAGCTGCTAGAAGAATTTGAAATTACCCGTGAGGTTCCCGTATTTCTTCTGGACAGGGCACTGCTCTAGGGGAAATCAGATCTCAGGATTAGGAAGCAGCTGGTAGGGACGCTGGAAGGCAGGAAGGCATGTCTGAGGAAGAGCAAGAAGCCTGTCCTATTTGGAGAGGCATGAGCCGGAGATAGAGGAGAATGAGAAAAACAAAGTCTCAGAGATGCTGAAGGCAGGTCCTCACCCCATAGGAGCGTGCCTGTTGTGGAGCGGTGGCAGGAGGGAGGGACAAGACCAATTGGTGTTCTTTGTTTTTAATAATTTTTATTATTTTTTTGGCCACACCGCACAGCACCTGGACTCTTAGTGCCCGACCAGGGATCAAACCCACGCCCCGTGCTGTGGAAGAGTGGAGTCCTAACCACGGGATCGCCAGGGAAGTCCCTGACTGGTGTTTTACATGAACTCGAATGTCAAATTCCGACGGGTAGAGAACAGATTAGGTAGGACCGCAGCGGCAGCTGGAACCAGACAGGAGGCTGTCGGCCATGATCCAGGCGGGAGAGGATTGTGGTTTGGACCCCGTTAGCATCGGTGTAGCCGGAGGACAGTTGGCTCCCAGACAGGTTTGGACGTAGAACTGACATTCTAAGACTTTCTAGTAGGTTAAAGGCGTGCAGGGACTTCGCTGGTGGTTGGGTGGTTATTACTCCGCACTTCCCCTGCAGGCGGTGGTGCCTGTTCGATCTCTGGTCGGGGAACCCAAGTCCTGCAGGCAGTGCGGTGTAGTCAAATTTTTTTTTTTTTTAAAGATGTGCAGCATCCCAAGGGGTAAGCATGGAACAGGGAACAAGAGTCTTTGAACCTGCCTTCAAGGAGCTGACATTTAGCAGATGATGTACCAAACCTCTTAACTGAGGGGGTTTTTTGGCCATAAGTTGAAGGATCTTAGTTCTTCCAGCAGAGATGAGCCCCAAGCACCAAGTCCTAACCCCTGGAACCACCAGGGAATGCCTTTCTCTCTCTCCCCACCTTTTTTTTAAAAAAAACTTTTATTGCAGTATTGTTGATTCACAACATTGTGTTAGTTTCTGTGAACAGTCAAGTCATTCAGTTATAGTGTGTTAGTCGCTCAGTCGTATCCGACTCTTTGCCGCCCCGTGGACTGTAGCCCGCCAGGCTCCTCTGTCCATGGGATTTCCCAGGCAAGAATACTGGAGTGGGTAGTCGTTCCCTTCTCCAGGGGATCTGCCCCAACCCCCCCCCCCCCCAGGGATCGAGCCCGGGTCTCCTGAACCACAGGTAGATTCTTTACCAACTGAGCCACCTTACACAAATATATATATATACATACACACACATATATATTCTTTTTAAAAGCATTCTCTTCCATTATAGGTTATTACAAGATATTGAGTATAGTTCCCTGTGCTTTTCAGTAGGTCCTTGCTGTTGAGCTGAGTCCTTGACTCACAGTAAGGGATCAGTACACACTGTATTATTATTGTGGTTGTTGCGGTTAATATTGTTCCCTGTACCCCGCTTCAGTTTGATGCCAACGGCGATGGGGCGATCACGCTGGGGGAGCTGCAGCAGGCCATGCAGAGGCTCTTGGGGGACAAGCTGACGTCCCAGGAGATCTCCGAGGTGGTCCAGGAGGCTGACGTTAATGGAGACGGCACCGTCGACTTTGAAGGTGACGCTGTGTGGGGACAGACACCCCTATCTCCCCAGGGTGATTGTTTTTCCAAGTTGGCCATTCCTTCTCATTCTCCCTCAGTTTGAAGTTGGAGGAGGCAGGGTTAGATTTCGGAACTGTGTTGCCTCCCTTTCTGCCCATGGCATTTCCGAAAGCTCATGCCTCTCACCTCTCCTTGTATTAATATCTGCACTTGGCCGCTCCTTGGAACACCCTGTCCAGAAGCCGATTCCGACTTCACCTCTCCCATCCCTTCCTTGTTCCCTGGGCACCTTTGTCTTAGGAACAGAATGTCCCATCAGAAGGAGAGGGGACTAGTTATTTCCTGGGACGCTGGGGTCAGGTTCATGGGGTTCAAGTTCAGGATCATCTTTTACTAATGGTGTGGTCTTATCCTAGTCACTTTCTGTCTTTCAGTGTCAGTTTTCACATCTGCAAAATGGGGGTAAGGATGACACCTTACTCCCAAAGTTTTTTTTTCTTTTTTTTTTTTATTGTAGTGGTTTTTGACTCCCAAAGTTTTAGTGAAAAGCTAAAAGAAATCATGCACTAGAGACTCCTCTGCTTGTATGCTGTCTAAAGCAGCCTTCATCTTTTCACTGGTTAAGCCTCAGTTATGCCCCTGGCTAGTGCCCCCCTCCCCATCTTTCTGGCCAGGCTCAGCATCCTTGAGCTCCCATAGCACCCACACCTGCCTCTGTGGTGATGCTGACACATGACATCATGATAGCTTCCAGTCGTTGATTACCTATTTCCTTCTGAGGCCACAGACGAAATGGTTCATCATTATACCCCCAGTTCCTGGCACAGAGTTCAACACGTGTATTGAGTGATTGGGCTTTCCAGGGGGCCCTAGTGATAAAGAACCCGCCTGCCAGTGCAGGAGATGCAAGTTCTATCCCTAGGTCAGGAAGACTCCTGGAGGAGGAAATGGCAACCTGCTCCAGAATTCTTGCCTGGAAAATTCTTGCCAGAGGAGCCTGCTGGGCTACAGTCCCTGGGGTCGCAAAAGAGCCAGACACAACTGAGTGACGGAGGACACACCCACATTGACTGATTGAATAAATGAGAAAGATTGGAGTCTTGAGAGGAAGGGATGGGCGGTCATTTCTGTGGGAGACACAGATAGGGCATGTCACGGTCTCATTGTGACATTCTCTGGTGCAAAAATTCCAGCATCTGACTGCTGTCTATAAGGCAAAAGTCTAAAATCCTTAGTTTGATATTCAAATGCATCCATGATGTCCCAGAGTAGACATCAATGAAAATCTGGAAGAAGTAGAATTTTTGAGGAACTAGACCCTCGGGCCAACCACAGGCAAGAGAAGGACAGATGAGCCTTGAGACCTGGGTGGGACCAATAAGTTCACCTGACACTGAGTCACAGCCAAGTCAGGTACAACTGGGGTTCCTTCCAGGGTTTTCCATTCACCATCTACACGATCTCTGGCACATTGGTCAACCTCACCAGCCTCAGCTTGCTTATCTGTAAAATGGTATTTAACCCTCCCGGATTGGTTGAAAAGATGAAATCAGAGACTCACAATGACTAATTATTGAACTCTGTGTCTTCTAAGCATTATATGGTTAAACCACCTGAAAGATCTTATAAGGTAAATAGCAGAAATCGAGGTGTAGAGGGATCAAGTCATTAATTTCCCAAAGATCTTTAGTGGTTTCTGACATGTAGTAAGGGCTGAAAAAATTAATGACAGCTGCTCTTACAAACAGGTCCTCACTTGGTGGGGGAGGGATAAATTAGGAGCTTGGGATTAATACACACACTAATATGTATAATATATATGAAAGAGATAAACAATAAGGACATATTGTAGAGCACAGGGAACTCTATTCAGTATTCTATAATAACCTGTATGGGTAAAGAATCTGAAAAAGAAGAATACATCTATGTGTATAGCTGAATCACTTTGTTGTACACCTGAAACTAACACAACATTGTAAATCAACTGCATGTGTGCGTGCTAAGTCACTTCACTCATGTCTGACTCTTTGTGACCCCATGGGCTGGAGCCTGCCAGGCTCCTCTGCCCACAGGGATTCTCCAGGCAAGAATACTGGAGAGGGTTGCCATGCCCCTCTCCATAAATCAACTATACTTCAATAATTAAAACACACACACACAAATCCCTATTCTGCCTCACCAGAAATTTTTGTTTCTGCAGAGTTTGTGAAGATGATGTCTCGTTGAGGAGGTCCTGGGGTCCCCAGCCTCTCTTCACCTGCTCAACGTGGATCAAGTCATGGTGGAGGGGAGGACCACGTGCCCCACGGGCCCTCCAGAGAGAGAGGTGGGAGGGTGGGTGGAGACTGGTGTTGCAGCGCTATGGCTTGAGGGTAGCCTAGAAACGATAGCTTTGGCCAGATGGGGTGGTGTTACATCCCTAGAACTAGATTAAGGAGGAAGAGATCTGTGTGAACAGTACTGGGGTCTCCTTGCCACTCCCCCAAATCCCAAAGAAAGACTAATGACATCTTTCAACTCATAATCCTAAATCCTTCCAACCTGGCAGGGTCTCTTCCCCCACTTCCTCTGGGTGAAAATAGTCTTTTCTCCTGTTTGATTCAGAAAGTTCAACACAGCATCTACCTTTCCCCCTTCTTGCTTCAACTGCCTTGAATCCCCTTAGTTTCTTCCTCTCGGTAGAAGAAGGCATGTCCATCATGAGGCTAGAAACAGGGTTCTTGATGAGACTGGGTTTGGAAAGGGTTAATTAAAGAGGCATCCAAGTGAACCTACCAACCCCTCCCCACAACTTGATTTCCTGGAAGCACAGTCTCTTTTCATCTCTCTAGCCCCCAACTTCCTTCTCCTTGTGTCAGATACTCCGGTCACCGAATTAAATCACAAATCTGGATTATCAAGGTTTAGAACAAGCTGATCCCCCAGGGGATTAGCCCCCCTCGAAACGACATCATGCAAAGAGAGAGAGGATGGACACCTCCAAATCCTTGGCTCAGCCGGGTCACCATGAAGCCATTCCTGGAAGCCCCCTGCCTCCTCGTCCGTCTGCCCTGGGCCGTACAGAGATAGTCCCTCTGTTAGACTGGAAGTCAGTTCTCTCCCTCATACCCTGGCCCTGATCTGCATTAGCAATTGGAAAGATATATTCCTCCTTACCTCTGCCTTCGGTAACCGCAAGGTCCTCCAAATAAAAAGTTCATTTGAAACCTTCAATTATTTATTCGTAATTAGTTGGCTGAGCCAGGTCTTAGTTGCAGCACGAAAGATCTTTAGTTGCAGCGTGTGGGATCTGGTTTCCTGACCAGGGATCGAAACTGGGTCCCCTGCACTGGGGGCATGGAGTCCTAAATGTGTGCTCAGTCGCTTCAGTCATGTCCAGCTCTTAGTGACCCAATGGACTGTAGCCCGCCCGGCTCCTCTGTCCACAGGATTTTACAGGTGCGAATACTGGAGTGGGTTGCCATTTCCTTCTCCAGGGGATCTTCCCAACTGAGGATTCGAACAGGAGTCTCCTGAGTCTCCTGCATTGGGAGACAGATTTCTTTTACCACTGAGCCACCTGGGACGCCCCCTTATCCACCCAGGAGGTCCCTCTTTTTCACCTTTAAAGTCCTAAGTATAGACCTGGAGAATGGCTCGCCTAGTTCAATAGCCTCCCTTTAAGAAAATTTTAATTTAAATTTTAAAAAATGGAATCAGAGTAATGTTTTCTAACTTTGCTGTGGCCATGCTGTTTTGCCATTCTTCACTATCCCAAGACTATTTTATGGTTTTTCTTTTATTTTCTTCATTCCTTCCTTTCCTTCTTTCCCCCTTCTACCTTTAATTTATTCAGCAGCAACGTCTGAAGTGCCTGCTATGTGCCAGACATTTTTCCAAGCATGAGGAAAAATGAGGCTATAGCAGTGAATAAAATAGCCCCAAACTCTGGACTCAAGAAGCTTCCATTATAATGTGAGGAGATAGACATAGAACAAAATAAATGATTAAATATAATCATATCTAGAATGTTAGAAGGTGATGAGATGTGGGGGGGAAAGGAGCAGAAATGGGTTGAAGAATGCGAAGGTTCTGGAGGTGGGGAGGGGTTGCATTCTCTGTAGGCACATCAGGGAGTTTATGGAGCCCTGGAAGCATGTCTGGGAAAGGGCAATTCAGACATGATAGAGTGCAAATGCAAAGGCCCGAGGCAGGAATTGCACCTGGAGTTCTGGAGGAATTGTGAAGAGACCAGGGTGGTTGGAGAGGGGTAGATGGTTTGGGGTCTGAGTGGATCAGGAGTCAACTCATGCAAGTATGCATTCTTAGAGGCTATTTTGAGGACCTTGGAGGGTACAGAACAGAGAAGTGTCATAGTTCATATCCCATTTAACAGATGACTTCAACCTCCTATCTTACCCATCACATCCCCTCTCTACACTCATCGAGTCACCCATCCAATCATTCCTGCACCTGCTCAAACATAATATTTGCTGAGTCCCTGATATGGGCCTGGCACTGTTCCAAGTGATGGAAATAGAGCAAGGATAAGTTACTTGACCTCAAGAAGCTTGTAGTCTAGAGCCCCACAAGCCAATGGGATCTCCCGGTGATAATGGAAATGCTCTAGAGTTGCTGTGCCACCCAATACGGTAGCCACCACCTATGTGTCACTATTGAGTATTAGATGTGGGGAGGCTGAGAATATGGGCGTCATTTGATTTTTATTTCACTAAGTTAATAACATTTTCTTAATACACTATTGGTTTTATGAATTATTTGTTAAATAGCCCCATGTGGCTGTGCTAAGTCAATTCAGTCGAGTCTGACTCTTCACAACCCTATGGATGGTAGCCCGCCAGGCTCCTCCGTCCACGGGATTCTCCAGGCAAGAACACTGAAGGGTGTAGCCTTTCCCTTCTCCAGGGGATCTTGCCGACCCAGGAATGGAACTGGGGTCTCCTGCATTGCAGGTGGACTCTTTACCAGCTGAGCTTCCAGGGAAGCCCCAGTGGACAGTGCGTGTTTGTGCTATGAGCCTGGGATTAGTCTAGGTCCTGGAGATAGTTAAGTGATAAAGTCTTTACTTTCTTGGAGCCTACAGTGTGATGTGAGGGGAGAAGACAAAAATGATCATTTAAGAGTTCAGACTAGGATGAATACTTTGAGGAAGTGGAGTGGTTATACCAAGAGAATTGGAGGGAAGGCACATATGCAAGTCCATCTGAAATTTAATTTACTGAAAAGGTCAGAAGGGCACTTAGAGATGAGCTGTCTCCAGTTGGGTTTCCAGGGTTTCTCCCTTGTCTGAGAGTGGAGGAGAGCATGAAGGAGGTTTATCAAACTGTATCCTTGGGATCGATACTTGGTAAGGAACTAGGATTAAGCAGAGGGAGAAGCTGAACAATGGTGCAAGCTCAACAAGCTCAGCGGAGTCCACAGGCGCTCTTGACACAGCTCTTCCGAGTTGTCTCATTTGGGTTGAAATGGCTGGGTCTTTAAATCTGCCCGTAGTTAATTCTTGCATGTGGACTGTCCTGGGGTGGGCATAAGCTCGGGCAAGGGAGGTCTCTCTGAAGCGGAGGACATCCCTGATTCCGGCTTGACCGCTGAAGGCTGCCTGCAGACAGCACTCCCCAGAGGTGGGCGGCAAGTCTTCTGTAGACCTGGTGACACACACCCCTCTCCATCACGGGGCATTTCAGCAGAGACTGAACAAGGTGAGGAGGAGAGCTGCAGAAGCTCAAGAGGAGAAGGGAACCTCAGCACCAGCAAGGCAGAGGCTGGAGTGAGCTTGATGAGTTCAAGAAACAGAGGAGCAGTTTGAGTAGTGAGTGAGGAGGGGGGCGGGGGGCAGAGGTAGAAAATGAGATGCAGAAAAGCGCCAAACAAGGCACGGAGATGTGGGATCTGGGAACAGGACGATGATGCTTACTAGGGTGTTTTTATATGACTGAGTGGAGACCTGTGCTCTGGCTGTTAAAGTGAAAAAGACCAACCATTCAGTTTTCATGTGTCTCTCACATCAATGCGACATCATGTGAACGTAACGATCAGACTGGCAGTGAATGAGGCTGAAAGGCTAAAATCTATTCCTAATGTCTGGCTGTGGTGAGGGACAATGGTAGTAGTTGTTCAGAGGGTTTTTCTGTTTTGTTTTTAAATATTCATTTTTGATGGCGACGGGTCTTCGCCGCTGTGTGTGGCCTTTCTCTAGCTGCAGTAAGCGGGGGCTACTCCGCATTGCGGTGCACGGGCTTCTCACTGCGGTGGCTTCTCTTGTTGCAGAGCACGGGCTCTGGAGCTTGGGCTTCAGTAGTTGTGGCAAGGGGGTTTAGTTGTTCTGCGGCATGTGGGGTCTCCCCAGACCAGGGATCCAACCTGTGTCCCCTGCATTGGCAGGCGGATTCTTATCCACTGCACCACCAGGGAAGTTCACTGAGAGGGATTTTATGGAGGAGGACAGGGAGGGAGAAGAGGAGGAGGAGAGGGAAGAGGAGGAGGAAGGGGAGAATGGAGAGGAAGAACACCAACAACATGAGGTTGCATCTGGGCTCACAGGAAACAGATTCTGTAATCGATTATTGATGTCTGTCACAGGCACCATAAAGGAATAGTTGAGGCCATCTTGCAATGAATTTTCTACCCTCCATTGATGTACTAATTTATTTATTAGTGATTTAATAAGTACCTACAAATGCTCCACCCAAGTCTGTAACTTCCCAGAAAGAGACAGCAGGCTGCAATTATTTCCTAGAGTCCCTGGGCTGAGAATCTGATTTCTGCACCGTGTGACTCACCAGTGCTTCCTTCCCCACACTTTTGGATCCCTCACCATATCTGTCATTCTAGGAAGCAGAAAAGGCAGCCCCAGAGTTAATGTGGGGCTCCCTTTTGGTGGTTAGACCACATTTTCCCTCTTTTCTTCACAAAGGACCAAGTGATGAAGCTAGATGGTGAACAGGTTCTTTCTAAAGGCGATTGATTATCTAAGCTTGAAAGATTCGATGAAAAAGATGAAGCAGGTTCCAGACTTAATATGTCAGCCTTCCACTGGAGACGTGTCTCCTTCCCTTGAAAATAAAATCAAAAGCCAGTGTTCAGGTAACGGGTACACACTGACTCAAATGTAACGTGAATTAAGAAGTGACTTCATGTTGATTTTTAAGACTCAGTTGGGAATGAGATGATGCAGCTGAGCCAAGAGCAGTGAGATACCCCCTGCCCCTCACCTGGCTCGTGGGATCAAGTCAGTGAATAATAAGCACCTCAACCTCACATATGCTGTAATAGGTTCGGTAGGAGCAGGACTTGCAAGGAGATGGTTCTGCTCTTTTTGTTTGTTTGCTTGTTTTTGCTTGCTCGTGGCACGGCATGTGGGGATCTTAGTTTTGCAAGCAGGGATCTAAGCTGTGCCCCCTGTAGTGGAAGCTTGGAGTTCTAACCACTGGATGGCCAGGGGAATCCCGAGATAGCTCTCTGATGGTTACAAATTTGAGACTGGAGACTAAAAATGTTCTTATACGTAGCCACAGATTGAAGACCACTGTGGATTTTTGTTTTTTGGGTTTTTTTTTTAGTATTCACCCTGTTAAGATGGGGGCTTCTCAGGTGGTACAGTGGCAAAGAATCCACCTGCCAATGAAGGAGACACAGGGGACATAGGTTCCATCCCTGGGTTGGGAAGATCCCCTGGAGAAGGAAATGGCAACCCACTCCAGTATTCTTGCTGGGAAATCCCATGGACAGATGAACCTGGCAGGCTACAGTTCATGGGGTCAAAAGAGTCAGACACGACTTAACGACTAAACAACAACTGTTAAGATGGCGCCTAGAGTCCCAAACCGACTTCTTTGCCTTTCCTCTGTACATGGAAGATAATTTTCACCATCAAACTAAATTTCAGGAAGAGTCACCCATTTTGGTTCTATCAGATAGTAAAGCGTCTGCTACAATGTGGGAGACCCGGGTTCGATCCCTGTGTCGGGAAGATCTCCTGGAGAAGGAAATGGCAACCCACTCCAGTATTCTTGCCTATAAAATCCCAAGGACGGAGGAGCCTGGTAGGCTACAGTCCATGGGATCGCAAACAACCAGACATGACTGAGCAACTTCACTCAAGCCACATGCAATCGCAAGGACAAATACTGCTGGAATCACCAGCGTGGTCACATATCTGATGAGAGGGCTTCTGTTTACTTTCAAATTCTAGAATTACAATGTGACAAGGTCAGTGCAGAAGGTCCAGAGAGAATTTTTATAGGCATTAGAATGTGGAAGCTGGAAGGAAAAGAATAGAAAAAAGGAAGGATGGAATGGGTCCTGTGGAGACAGTTGATGATGTATGGGCTGAGGTTGGGGAGAGGGTGAGAGGTGAACCTAAACTTTTTGTTGGTTAGCTACTCATTGAAGCAGGTAAGGGATCAACAACAAGGTTTCTGGGGACGTGTGTGTGTGTACTCAGTCACAAAGTCATGTCTGACTCTTTGTGACCCCATGGAGCATAGTCCACCAGGCTCCTCTGTCCATGAGATTTCCCAGGCAAGCATACTGGAGTGGGTTGCCATTTCCTTCTCTGGGGGATCTTCCCAACCCAGGGATTGAACCTGTGCCTCCTGCATTGGCAGGCAGATTCTTTACTGCTGAGTCATCAGGGGGACCAGAGAGGTCTTGGTTATCTCCTTTCATTTAAAGTCTCAACTCAAGAAATTCCACTTTCTGAATTTTTCACACCCAAATCCTCCCAGACCTAAACTTTGGAATGACACATTTCTGGTTCTGAAATCATTCGCTCGCCTCCTCACCCTGCTCCTCTGCTTTTCAGAGACATCCCGATTTCTTCTAGTCTTCTATTTTGGGAAGTTGTCCCAGCATCCCCCACCCTGGCTAAGTTCACCTTTTCTCTGAGAAATAGAACTTGTCTTGCTGGAAAACTCAGCAAATCACGCTGGAAGGAAAAGAGCTCACCTTTGCATCAGCAGTACACCCAAGTGTGGTCCCGGTCATAGTTGTAAGAGGTTGCACACCATAAAAGGTTCTCCTTTGATCCTTTAGTGGTGCAGTTAAAATAATTCTTGTTTTTGTAGTTGAATGGGAAGTGGCAAGGGAAGCCAGGAACCAATGAGGAAATTCCTAGGGAGGAAATGGAGATAAGACGGTGGTTACTCCTGTGTCTTTACACTACAGTGAAGGCTTCATCCTTACTTAAGCTTGTGTTGTTTGATCTCTGCTCAGAGGCTCCTGCCAAAGGGGTGATGTATTGTTGTTGTTGTTGTTTAGTCGCTAAGTCGTGTCAGGCTCTTTTGCAACCCCACGGACTGTAGCCAGCCAGGCTCTTCTGTCCATGGGATTCTCCAGGCAAGAAAACTGGAGTGGGTTGCCATTTCCTCTTCCAGGGGACCTTCCTGTCCCAGGGATGGAATCTGAGTCTCCTGGGGCCCCTGCATTGGCAGGCGGATTCTTTTCCACTGTGTCACCTGGGAAGCCCAATTTGTTCAAGAGAGAGTCCAGTCATCTCTATCTGGTAGACGAGATAAACCCAAAGGTTTGGTTGTTTTTAGATGTTAGTGGATCTTGTATCTAATTTAGCAATCTTGCTTCAGCTTGGCATTCTTTTCTTCACTGACTATATACAATCGACCCTCAGTAGTCACAGGTTCTCTGAGGATTCAATATTCCACTTGAAGAATGCAATATCTGGTTGGTGAATCTGTGGATCCACAACCCACAAATACCGAGATTGGGAGAAAGGATAGGCTACCCACTCTAGTATTCTTGCCTGGAGAATTTCATGGACAGAGGAGCCTGGCAGGCTACAGTCCATGGGGTCACAAAGAGTCAGACACAACTGAGCAGCTTTCACTTTCAACTCTTCTACACCATTTTATATAAAGGACTTGATCATCCTTGGATGCTTCTTGTAAGTCCTTTGACTTGGCTTCACCATCTTTCCAGTTCCATTATTAACAGATTTTTCAAAACCTTATCATATAGTGTACTCATTATTTGTATGAGTGTTGGCCCCTTTCTCTTGAATCTTAAGGAGACCACCTTTTTGCCTGTTGTATTATGGCATTCTTTATGCTATTTGTTCATCAGATCTCTGAGGGCAGGAATCTGCATATTCATCATCATAGCCCCAGTGCTCGGCTCAGGGTCTGTTACACAGTAGGGCTGGAATAGATGTTTGTTGAGTGAATGAATGAAGGAATCCACCCATGCCCACCCAATCCCCTTCCCCATAGTACTGGTGTCGGCACAAAGACTCCACTTCCCGTCCTTATCCATGTTCTCCGTGGTTGGACACCAGAGCTTATTGTTTTCATCCTCAAGGCATTCAGAGACCACATTATTTCTGTACATGGCAGGGAAGATGCAGGGCTTGCTGAAAGAGTTTCCCCCGTACTCTGAAAATAATAATGGAAATGAATATAATTAGAACCTTATGTTCCCAGGTGGCGCTAGTGGTAAAAAAAGAAAAAAGAAAAAAACAACCCGCCTGCCAAGGCAGAAGACATAAGAGATTCGAATTCAATCCCTGGGTTGGGAAGATCCCTTGGAGGAGGGCATGGCAACCCACTCCAGTATTCTTGCCTGGAGAATTCCATGGGCAGAGGAGCCTGGCGGGCTACGGTCCATGGGGTTGCAAAGAGTTGGACAGGACTGAGGCAACTTAGCACACACACATGCAGAATCTTACATAGGAAGAAGTGTACTTGTAGATAGGTGCTTTGTATGCATTTTCATCTCTAGAGGCAGCAGTGCTTAGTGAGAAGGTAAAAAGGCACAGGCTTTGGAGTCAAATGGACTTGAATTCACATTTTAACTCTGACATCACCTTGGGCCATTGTTTTATTCAGACTATTTACTGAATAGTGGGAAAAAAATAGCATCTGGTAGAGCTTCCATGGGAAGATTCAGTGGGTTATTATATATAGAGCTTCTGAATCAGGATCTAACACAGAGAAGGCACGAGAATGAATGGGGGTTTTCAGTTAAGAGGAGCCTAGAAGTAAGAGTAAATGTTAAGATGCATTGAAATGCAGTTTGGGTGTGGCATTGGGTGAACCTAATTATTGTTGATTCTAGAAATAGAAATCCTTGAAAACCAGTGTCAGAACTACAGTCCATGGTTTTGGTCTGTGGTTTTTCACAGACCAAAGCATAAGTGGTTTTTCACGCTGGCCTTGGGGACTTGTAATGCAGGAGACCCTGCATTGATCCCTGGGCTGGTAAGATCCCCTGGAGGAGGAAATGGCAACCCACTCCAGCGTTCTTGCCTGGAGAATCCCATGGACAGAGGAGCCAGGCGGGCTATAGCTCACGAGGTCACAAGGAGTGGGACACGCCTGGGCAATTGAGCACGCGTGCTTACTGCCCTGCCCCATGCTCACGAGAATCATCACTGGCCCCCGGCCCCGCCCTCACCAAACACACCCTCCTTGTTGCCGTGCCTCACCGTTGGTTTCACAGTATTTCCACTGCTGCTTCTCATCAAAGCTGGAAGTGACTGAGCACCACTGCCTTCCAAAGAAACTGCCGTCTGTGATGCAGCCATTATGGGGCTTTCCTCGGTAGATGAAGGGAAAGACACACCGTGGGTAATCTGCACAGAAAGAAGTCCATGAGTGCTTTCACTTTTCTCTGGTCATTAATTTTTGGCTGCAAGATCTTAGTTCCCCAACCAGGGATTGAACCTGTGCCCCCTGCATTGGAAGAGCGGAATCCTAACCATTCGACCACCAGGGAGACCCTTGTGGACCTCTTTTCCAGCATTAAAAAATATATATATCTACTTGTAATTTTCTTATTCAGTTTCAACCAGTTGATCCCGATTTGTTTGAACTGCAGAGGACTTTGCAATAGAGGCACTGCAGGCTTACCTTGTTTTTAGTCACTTTGCTTTATTGCGCTTTGCAGAGATCGCATTTTTCACACGTTGAAGGTGTGTGGCAACCCTGCCCTGAACAAGTCTGTTGGAGCCATTTTCCCAGTAGCATTGGCTCACTTTGTGTCTCTGTGTTACATTCTGGTGATTCTCCCAATATTCCACACTTTGGAATTATTATTGTGTTTGTTATGGTGGATCAGTGATTTTTTCCCCTTTTTATTAACACTTAGTTAATTAAGCTTAGTTAATTAAGCAATGCTTAGTTGCTCTGAGGCAAATGGGATCTTCCAGGACCAGGGATCAAACCCATGTCTCCTGCATTAGCAGGCAGATTCTTTACCACTGAGCCACCAGGGAAACCCAATCAGTGATATTTGATGTGATGCATGTAATTGTTTTGAGGCACCATGAAATACATAACCTATGGATAAGAAGTTGCTTCTAATGGACAAGAAAAGAAAGTGCTTTCCTGAGATGAAAACTACTCCTGGTGAAGACGCTATGAAAAGTGTTGACGTTACAACAAAAGATACAGATACTATATGAAGTTAGTTGATAAAGCATCAGCAGGGTTTGAGAGGACTGACTCCAATTTTGAAAGACATTCTACTGTAGATAAAATGCTATCAAACAGCACTGCAGGCTACAGAGAAATTGTTCATGAAAGGATGAGTCAATAGATACAGTAAACCTCTTTGTTGTCTTATTTTAAGAAATTGCCAGTCACCCAACCTTCAGCACCCATTACCCTGATCAGTCAGCAACCATCAACATCAAGGTAAGACCCTCCACCATCAAAAAGATTACAACTCACTGAAGATTCAAAGGATGGTTAGCATTTCTGAGCAATGAGATAGCTTTTAAATTAAGAGTAGGTACTTTTTAAAAAGACATATAATGTCATTGCACATTTAGACTGCAGTACAGTGTGACATATCTTTTATATGTTCTGGGACAGCAGAAAATTCATATGACTCACCTTATTGCAATATTTGCAATGTTTCCCTTCTGGTAACTGTATGTTTGTTTTCTGTGTCTGTGAGTCTGTTTGTTTTATAAATAAGTCCATTTGTATCATTTTCTAGATGCCAGTTATAAATGACACCATGAGATATTTGTTTTTCTCTGATTTACTTAGTGTGATAATCTCTAGGTCCATCCACATTGCTGCAAACGGCATTATTTCATTTCTTTTAATGACCGAGTAATATTCGTGTGTGTGTGTGTGTGTGTGTGTGCACACGCACATGCGTGTATCTCACATCGTCTTTATCCATTCATTTGTCGATGGACATTTAGTTTGCTTCCATGTCTTGAAGAGCACTATTTTTAACACCATTATCCCTTTTTTTGGACTATGTCATGTGGCTTGTGGAATCTTAGTTTCCTGACCAGGGGTTGAGCCCGGGCCCTCGGCAGTGAAAGTGCTGAGTCCTCAACACTAGACCACTGGGAATCTCCTCACTCTCTGATCCTTAACATTATTACCCATTATTAACACTCAGTGTTTGGTCTGCCAAAAAAAAGATCATATTATCCACGCCTACACATCTCGTTTGTGATCCTTGCTCTGACGACACCTGCTGACAGGACGAGATGGTACCACTCACCTTCCGTCATGCAGTGTTTCCACCGTCCGTCATACACGGCTCTGGTCGAACACCAAGGGAATAAGCTGTTGGTTCTGGTGCAAGAGAAGTAAGTAGAACCCTTGTAGGTGAAGGGAAAGATGCATGGATCTTTCTTATCTAAAGGACAGATGGATAAAGTAGGGGATTAGTCCCAAAGAAGGAGCCAAGGATGAGACTTGGTCTGCTTTATATGATGGCCTGAAGTCTGCATGTATAGTCTTTGAATCTAACTTCCTAATGACATTTAAGAACATTTCCAGCTTAAGTTTGGACCCAGAGTAGTAGGGATGAGTTTCATGAACTATGAAGGCAACCAAGATACATTATGTCTCCAAACCAGCATGGCTACGACAAATGTCATACAAGACACTTTTGGTTAGGGGGTTCCCTGGGAGTCCAGTGGATATGACTTCATGTTCCAGTGCAGGGGATGTGGGTTCACTGGGGTAGGGGTTCGATTCTTGATTGAGAAGCTAAGATCCCACATGCCTGGCAGCCAAAAAAAAAAGATATATATATATAAAACAGAGGCAATGTTGTAACATAGTTAATAAAGACTTTTTAAAAAATGGTCCACGTCAAAAAATCTTTGAAAAAAAATTTGGTAAATTACAAGATTCCATCTGGTCTTGAAAAGACACACATGAAATAATTTTGAATCACAGACTAAAAAACCATTTCATTTTTCAATGCTTTTTCAATCCTTCTGATGACGTAAAAGAAAAAGCCTAAATTTAATGCTAGTATTTTGCTACCATGTCTCTAATACTTAATAATCTTCCTTTTTAACAAAAAAAAAAAAAAAAAAAAAGAGAGAGAGAGAGCAGGACTCAGGCTCAAAACACTATTAGGACAATGGTATCTAGTAGAGTTTAATAATAGGCTTTTGCTCTCATAGTATTTATTTTTATTGGTACTTCCTATTTATGGCAGTAGTAGTGCTTTTATAGATTACAGGGCTGATGCTAACAATTCGTTTAAAATAAACGTATTCAGGAAGCGTAAGCACATTGAAAGAGAAACGTTGAGTACAGAATATTTCTGATGGCATGCAGGCGGTGGCAGGTATGGAGGGGGTGAACTTGAATGAGTAAAATTTAGGAAACACAACTCTTGACCTTTCTGTCTTTCTGTACCAGGACAGGGACTTTATCTTTTACACCACTTATCCTGAGAACCTAGAAGAGGGACTTGATCATAGCAGGTGCTCAAAAAATAACTGACAGAACAAAATAAGTTTGGGAAACACCATGTGAAATAGCATTAAACAGATTTCTTCAATGATGGATTCATCACAAAAGTCCCTTTGCAAATGAGGATTTAGTTAACAAGAGTGAAACAGAATATATTGAGTTGTCCTTTTTATTTTTTTTCCCCTTTACTCAACAGGGCTAGAGATGAGTGGTCCCTGAAACACATCTTAAGAAATGCTGTTCTGGGACTTCCCTGGTGTCCAGTGGTTAAGACTTCGCCTTCTGACCTGGGGGGTGCGGGTTTGATCCCTGGTCTGGAAGTTAAGAGCCCACATGCCTTGAGGCCCAAAAAAGAAAAAAGAAACAGAAAACAGAAACAACATTATAACAAATTCAATAAAGACTTTAAAATGATTCACATCAAGAAAAAAAAACACCTTAGAAAAATGAAATGAATGCTGTGCTAACCCAATTCTTCATTTCATGGAGAAGGAAGTGAGGACCCATACAAGGAGTGATTTGAAGTTAATACCTTTCTTTTTCTTTTTTTGTTTTTTTGAGCAGAACTAGTAGGGTGAGAGCTTCCCTGTTGGCTCAGTGGTAAGGAATCCACCTGCCAATGCAGGAGACATGGGTTCGATCCCTGCTCTGGTAAGATTCCCTGGAGAAGGAAATGGCAACCCACTCTAGTGTTCTAGTTTGGGAAATCCCATGGACAGAGGAGCCTGGCAGGCTACAGTCCATGAGGTCACAAAGAGTCGGACACAACCTAGAGACTAAACAACAATTAGAATGAGGACTTGGATTTTTTTTTAGCAGGATCGGAACGGCCCTTTCTTTCACTTTGCCGTCTCCTCCACATTCCTCTTTCCCTCTCTCAAAGATATAATGATGGGTTACTATGAGTAAGATGCTCTGATAGGTTATGTGTGTGTACACACATATGTGCATGCATGTGTGCGCATGTATGTACATGCCTGTCTTCCTGCATGTGTGTTAGCTCATGTTACAAAGATGGTGAGGCCAAGCTTCCATACATTCACCAAACCCAGCTTCCTTCTCTTTCTGAGCTCGTAGCCAGAATCCATTTTGCTGTCTCTCTCTCTAAAGGTTTTTTGATGTGGACCATGTTTTTTAAAGTCTTTATTGAATTTGTTATTGAATTGCTTCTGTTTTATGTGTTGGTTTTTTGGCTGAAAAGCATGTGGGATCTTAGCGCCCTGATCAGGGATCGAACCCACACCGCTGCTGTGGAAGGTGAAGTCTTAACCACTGGACTACTGGAGAAGGGTCTGCAGCTTCTCTTGTAGTTAGGTGGGGCTGTGGACTGAGTTATGACTCATAGAATGTGGGTTAAAATGATGTTATCCTTTCCTGGCTCAAAAAAAAATTTTCCAATCAACCCTCCACACATTTTTGTTTCTCTGCCTGCCAGCTGGGCATAGAATGGTGGATCTCAATGGAGAAGGGGCAATCATTACCTCCCCTCCTCCAGGGGACATTAGACAATGTTTGGAGACATTTCTGGTTGTTACAAGAGGGAGAGGGAGGAACTGGTAGCTGTGCTACTGATATCTACTGGGTAGAGGCCAAGGATATTGCTAAACGTCTCTTTTTAAAATGTATTATTGGCTGGGCGGTGTGTTTATTGCTATGCAATAAACTTTCTCTAGTTGTGGCTCGGGGGGACCACTCTCTAGTTGTGGTGCACGGGTTTCTCATTATGGTGGCTTCTCTTGTTGCAGAGCATGGGCTTTAGGGTGCGAGGGCCTCAGTAGTTGTGGTGTAAACGGGCTTAGTTGGCCCCTGGCATGTGGAATCTTCCCGGACCAGGAATCGAACCTGCGTCCCCTGCACCGGTAGGCGGATTCTTAACCACTAGACCACGGTTAGGATGTTGTTGTTATTTAGTTGCTAAGTCTTGTCTGACTCTTTGTGACCCCATGGACTGCAGATTCCTCTGTCCATGGGATTTCCCAGGCAAGAATACTGGAGTGGGTTGTCATTCCCTTCGCCAGGGGATCTTCCCCACCCAGGGGTCGAACCCGAGTCTCCTGCATGGTGGGCAGATACTACTCAACAAAAGTTAACTGTCATCATCATCAGAGATTGTCCTCACCCAGGAACACCCCTGAGTATAGAGGATGCTGGTGGTGGTGGGGAGGGGGCAGGCTGGTACCCCGTGTACATAGAATTAAGTTTATCCTTGGGAGCTGTTAGCAAAAATCAACACTGATAGATACTATTAGCATCTGTAAAGTAGTCCAGCAGATGGTCTAATCTTCTTAACTGGGTTAAAACCCTCCATAATCCGAGACTTGCTGACCTCTCTGTTCTCACTCTGCGATTAACATTCCCTTGACCTTCCTCCATGTTCTTTGTCTTTGGAGTTTTGCTCATGTTCTTCATCCTACCCACAACGACTTTGCTCTCTGCTATTCATTCATCAAGACCTAGTTCAGCCTGGATTAACACACTAGCTTGCTCTTATAATACTCTGGGCCAATCTTTGTAAATATAGTTACCATTTTTAAAAAACTTTTTATTTTATATTGGAATATATCCAACTAATGATGTTGTGATAGATTCAGGTGGACAGCAAAGGAACTCAGACATACATACACACATATCCATTTTCCCCCAATCTCCCCTCCCATCTAGGCCACCCACATGACATTGGGCAGAATTCCCCGCACTCTGCAGCAGGTCCTTGATGGTGATCCATCTTAAATATAGCAGTGACATACTCAGTTTTTAAGATAATATGATTAGTTTATGTATCTCTCTCTTCCATTCATCATAAGCACTCTGAATGTAGGGCATGAGTTTCATTTACTGTTATGTTTCTGGATCAAAGCACAAATCCAGGCACTTAGGAGTCACTCAACATATATGTATTGAAAGGACTTCCCTGGTGGTCCAGTGGCTAAGACTCCACACTCCCAGTGCAAAGGGTCCAGGGTTCGATCCCTGCTGGGAAACTAGAATCCACATGCTGCAATTAAGAGTTCACTTGCTATAACTAAAAGATCCTGGGTGCTGTGACTAAGATCTGTCTCAGCCAAATAAATAAATAAATATAAAAATGTGTATTGAATAAATTAATCTATAAACATGTGCATGTGGGGTCTTCCTGGACCAGGAATTGAACCTGTGTCTCTTGCATTGGCAGGCAGATTCTTTACCACTGAGCCAAAAAGGAAGCCCCACAAGTTTTTTTTTTTTTTTTTTTAATGAGTATAAAAGGAATGTCCAAGTAGGGGATTCTGAGCTTTCAGTGTACTAGAATTATAGAGCACCCCCCTTTATATTAAAATATTTATATCCCCCTTACCATGTGCTGATTCCCCTGGTGGTTCAGACGGTAAAGAGTCTGCCTGCAATGCGGGAGGCCCGGCTTTGATCCCTGGATCGGGAAGATCCCCTGAAGAAGGAAATGGCAACCCACTGCAGTATTCTTGCCTGGGAAATCCCATGGATGGAGGAGCCTGGTGGGCTACAGTCCATGGAGTCACAAAGAGTCGGACATGACTGAGCGACTTCACTACCCTGGGCTGAATCTTTGAAAGAGGCTTGTGTCTGTTATTTTATTTAGGCTTCAACATCGTCCTATGAGGTAAATGCCATTATTCCTCTTTCAAGGCTGAGGACTGACTTCAGAGAGGTTACCGGGCATGACCAAGGTCACACAGAGAAAAAGTGGCAGATCCAGGGGCCACACCCCATGTCGGTCTGAGATTTCTACTAGGCTATCTTCTCCCCACTTGGATCCAGTCATCTTTACTTCATTCATTCTTTCCAGGTCCCAAACCCTCCCCATCGCTTCCCAGCATACTCACTTCCAGTTGTTTCATAGGAGTAGAGGAGGAAGGCCATCCACCCCACCAGGTAACTGGGCCATCCATTCATCCCGGCTGGCTTCTTCTTTCTGGATTGAAGGAAGACAAAAATTTGGTTCCCATGGGTTTCCTTCCTCTTCCACTAACTCCCAGGTTTGATGTCACGCAGGCTATTTTCTTTCTATCCCCAGGGGGTAAGGAAAAAATAGCTTATTCTTACAAAGTGAAAAGTGAAAGAGTTACTCATTCAGTCGTGTCCGACTCTTTTGATCCCACAAACTGTAGCCTGCCAGGCTCCTCTGTCCATGGGATTCTCCAGGCAAGAATACTGGAGTTGGTAGCCCTTCTCCAGGGGATCTTCCTGACCTATGGATCGAACCCAGGTCTCCCACATTCCAGGGAGGTATATACATATATATATTCTGTCATTATGGAGGGAAAAGTGTGATGGAAAGGAAAAATGAAGCATTTGTTGAACACTTACTATATTCCAGGCTAGATGCTCAACATACTTGATGCCACAGGTTCTCATGCACCACACCCATCTCCTCGGCTGGCTATTAAAAGTACCTTATCAATCAGCATTACTATCCTCGCCAGTCATAATTTCTATTGGCTCTGGTTGCCTCTATGCCATTTCCTCAGTGACACATAAATATGCCATTCTTGGCAGAAACGACAATGCCGGTCTTAGCCTAGGCGGTCTGGGTTTCCTTAGAGGCCCAGCTACTATTGCCTTATCAACTACTGGCTCCCAGTTACTGAGTGCCTCTTGTCTGCTAGATGGTCTAGGTTTTGTATCCACTTTGCTCCTTCCAGCAGGTGGAGGAGCCAGCATGGTGATCATCCCCATTTTGCAGAAGGAAACTGGAATTTGGGAGGTTGCATAACTTATCCGAAGACCACAGATGGTAAGTGACAGATAGCAGGTTCAACTGCTCTCAGTATTCTTCCCAGTCTCTTGAGTTACTCCCCCAAGAGTTTGCTCTTCCCGTCTCCTCCCTACATCCTATCAGTCATCAAACCCAGGTGATTCTACTTTTTGAATAGCTCCTGTATCCACCCCCATCTCTCTGTCCCTGCCGTTACTGATCAAAGTCCGGGTTTTACCGTCTCTCCCCTAAACGCTTCTTGTGTTCCCCTTGATGATACATTGGCCTCCAGTCTCTTCCGGTCTGCTATACAAGGCTGCTGAAATAGAATTTCCCTGCTTTCGATTAACTCCTCTATCCAAACTTTATTCCATTTTTTTTTCCCATTTTCCACCTCTGTACCCCCTCAGATTTGAGGAATGACAAAAAAAGGGGGGAGATTGAAACCAAGCAATCCCCAGATGGGCTTTTCTCTGGAGCAGACCCCTTCACATTCCCAAAGAACTGTTTAGTCTCCTGAACATCTTTTGAGTTTCAGAAAGTCTGGCTCGATGGTTCAGGATCAGAGGAATGAGAACGTGCAGTGACAAAGAACAGCAGTCGGGCGGGAGAACAGAGGCTGTGATAAAGGCTAACCGGGGCAAGGTTTTCGAGGTTGGGAAGTCTTTTCAGATAAAATGACATGTAAACTGAGACCCGGGGGAAGAGAAGAATGAGCAGACATGAGCGTGTGAGCGTGTGTCTGCGGCTCATCTAGGCAGAGACAGCAGGATGTGAGAAAAGGCTTAAGATGGAAAATAGCTAGATGTGTTCAAGGAACAAGACGAGCTGGAACTATATCACTCCAGTGGGATTTAGTGGTGTCGCTAGATACTACTCATATCTGGCGCTATGAATAATGCTTGGTGAGGCAAATAGAGTGGACCCTGCAAAACCATCCTTGTTTTCTAAACACAAGTTTGCAACTTCTCTGGTGGCACAGTGGCTAAGACCCTACTCTCCCAATGCAGAGGAGGGTCCAGGTTCGATCCCTGGTCAGGGAAGTAGATCCCATATGCCTCAATTAAGTGTTTTCTTGCGGTAGCTAAAGATGCCGTGGGGCAACTAAGACCTAATACAGCCAAGTAAATATATATATATATATATATATATATATTTAATGCAACCGGAGGGCTTCCCTGTTGACTCAATGGTTAAAGAATCTGCCTGCCAATGAAGCAGAAACAAGTTCGATTCCTGGTCCGGGAAGGTCTCACAGGCCTTGGAATAACTAAGCCCCTGCGCCACCACTATGAGCCTGTGCTCTAGAGCTGGGAAAGTGCAGCTACTGAGCCCACACGCCCTGGAGCCTGTGCTCCGCAAGAAGAGAAGCCACTGCAATGAGAAGCTTGCGCCCCGCAACTAGAGAGTAGACCCTGCTCGCTGCAACCAGAGAGAGCCCACACAGCAACAAAGACCCAGCCAAAATGAAATAAATAAAACTATTTTTAAAATGCAACTGAAAGCTACTGGATGGATTAAAGTGGGGAGAAGCAGCGTTCATCAATTCAGAATTCTCCACTACGTTTATCATGAAATTCACAGTCTATGCTAAGCCCTCCCCTCAAAGCTCATTCCTTATCTCTTGTCCCCTCCTTTGATCTGTTCAGACTACACTAGTCTTTTTGCTGTTTCTTGCATAGACCAGCTGAGCTTGCTTGTGCTTCCGGGTCTTGCTCTTCTCTTCCCCTGGGTGCTCTGCCCCCAGCCCCCACTCAGACCAGACATTTGCCTGGGATACCAGACATGTGTGTCATAAAGGATTTTTGTGCGGACTCGAGGAGCTGATATGGACTGCCATCCTGGAAGGTTAATGAGTCTACTTGGATCAAGTCGTGGATATTAATAGAAAACAGGTTGGGGGTGGTTCAAGGCAAGGAATGGGCTATAAAGTGAGTCTTAATAGCTGAACGTCTGGAACATTCAGGTTCGGACCAAGCGATTCCTCAAGCACCTGCACGTCCACATGCTTTGGAGGTCACTTTGTCCTGGGCCACGGGGTCATTGGAGCTGGCATCCTGCCGCTATCACCACACTGTTGGCTGGTAGGCAAGCGAGCTGCTGGGGTCTTGGAGTCAACCCACAGTCTGGCGTGGGTGCAGTTTCCCCAGTCATCAAGTCAAGGAGAGTAAAACCCAGCAAAGGACCTTATGATAAGAGCCATAGATGTTGGAAAGTACTTTGCAAATGATGGAGGGTATACAAGCAAGATAATAACTACCCTTTGTAAATATGGGGGAAAGACAGGTTTGAACCACTTCTTCTAAACTCTTTACCACCTACAATTTCATGCTTATATCTCTGCTTCACCATACTCTCCGATATCTACACCTTCATTAATTCATTCACCTCAAGGTTTCCTTTCAAACCCCCTTCCCAAGATTCAAATTTAATTAATCATCTTTGGCCTATATACTAAGATATCCCCAAAGGCAGAATTTGGAATGCTGTTAAAGGCCTGAACTTGGTTGGAAAGCTTTGCCTCTTAGGACCTTTACGATGTTAAGAAAGTTCTTCATTGTGTTTATGCATCAGATCTTCTTCATCCAGTCACCTGTCAGTGGACATTTAGGACATTTGCTTCTATTTCCTGGTTATTGTAAATACATATGGCTGATTCACTTTGCCGTGCAGCAGAGCTAACATAACATTATGAAGCAACTATACCCTAATAAATTAAAGAAGTAAGTTATTCGGGGCTCTCGGTCTCAGTTCTTCATCTGTAAAATGGAGACAATGATGGTAATTGCTGCTGTCTCCGAAAGTCAGGGTGAGGTAGTTAGTAGATGCTAATACCCCGATACTCATCATCGCCAAAGATGTCCACGCCCTAATCCCCAGAACCTGTGAATATGTTGCAGTACACGGTGGGGATTTCCATTACATTAAGGATCTTCAGATGGGGAGATTACCCTGGATGATCTGGGTGGGCTTAGAGTAACCAGAAGACTCCTTATAAGAGAGGGGCAGGGACCTCTCTGGTGGCGCAGGGGATAAGAATCTACCTGCCAAGGCAGGGGACACGAGTTCGATCTCTGGTCCAGGAAGATTCCACGTGCCGTTGAGCCACTAAGCCTGGGCACCACAACTGCTGAGCCCACACTCTAGAGTCAAGAGTACTGGCGTGGAGAGCTGCAATTACTGAAGCCCACGTGTCTAGATCCTGTCCTCCGAAACAAGAGAGGCCACCGCAGTGAGAAGCCGACATGCTGCAGCTAGAGAGTAGCCCCTGCTCACTGCAACTAGAGAAAGCCCTCTTAGCGCAATGAAGACCCGGTGCAGCCAAAAGTAAATAAATGCCTGTTTTTTTAAGGGAGGTAGGAGGAGGCAGGAAATCAGATGGAACAAGGGAAGCAGAGGTTCGAGTGACGTCAGGAAGGGGCCATGAGCTAAGGAATGCAGGTCGTCTTTATGGAGTTTGGTACAACATCGCTTCTGTTTTATGTTTTGGTTTTTTGGCCCCCAGTCATGTGCAATCTTGTTTTCCCAGCCAGAGATCAAACCTGCACCCCCTGCATTGGAAGGCAAGATTTTAACCACCAGACTGCCAGGGAAGTCCTACAGAGGGGCAAACCTTTAGAAGCTGGAAAATCTGGGAAATGGCTTCTCCCCTAGAACTTCCAGAAGGCACACAGCCCTGCCAACACCCAGATTGCAGCCCAGCAAGTCTTCTGACCTACAGAGTGTAAGAGACTAGACCTGTGTCCTTTTCAGCTGGATGATATTTTTTTTTTTTTTACAGCAGCCGCAGGGAACTAATACAGACCCCAAAGGCTTTGAACACCATAAAATGTGCTTAGTAAATATGAGTCGTTATCATTTTCGTCATCACTGTCCCCATCTGAGTCAGTCATCCTGGAAGATGTCCAGGAAAGATCATTTCCAACCCTAGTCCTCCTCATAAGCTGACTTTGTGACTCTGAGCATTTTGCCTCTCATAATATCTGTTTTAACAACTGCTAAATATATTTATCATTGTGGCTTTGACAAAGGATGGTCCAGACGTGAATTCCAGCTTATCCTGGGGATCTTGGACGTGATACGGGTGGTGATTGACTTTCAGGGTCTTGGTATACATATGGGACTACTGAAATTTACCCCGTTGGACTGTTTTCAGAATGAGATGAGACCGCCTAAGCAGAATTCTTATTACATGAGCTCAA